TTTAGGGCTTAGGGGTTCGGGGTTTAGGGTTTGGGGCTTAGGGGTTTAGGGGTTTAGGGGTTTAGGGGTTTAGGGTTTCAGGAAAGTCTAAACCCTAAACCGCAAATGGCCTATTAAGGCTCCAAAGGCGGTCCTGGATCAGGCTGCCGCTCTTGGAGCCTTTCGACATGTACTGCTGCAGCGTGGGCGACTTCCTTTGCAGATGTCGGAATCTACCCTAAGAGATCAAAGCCGGGTTCCTAAACCCTAAACTTCAATCCTAAACCCTAAACCCTAAACCCCTAAACCCTCAAACCCTAAACCCTTCATGTCCTCGGAGTAAAGGGAACCCTCAGGGTGCGGTTGGGGGTCCTGAGGCTTGAGAGACTCCCTTTATTGGTGGCCCCCCAAACCCCAGCTGTTTTTGGGGTCCCCATCATGGGTTCCTTCTATGTCTCCTGACGAAAAGGTATTCAAAACAGCAACATGAGCAAACAGAAACAAGTGGCCACACTTCCTCGATCTTGGCATCCGCCCCTTCGTCGCCTTTGGCACAAGTTGGGGCTTTGTTGTTCAAGGAGGTAGCCCTGACGGTTAAATTTGTGGGCTTCCTGGAATAGTGCCTTAAAGGGGTCTATCAGGTTTTAGAGGGTCGCATTACTCAGATAGCAGGGTTTTTCGGAAAAGGGCCCTCTTGGAAAGTGGAAGTCGGTGGGTTCAGGGCTTTTATTGGAAATGTTTTGTCATAGCAGGGCTCAACAGCAGTCCCGAAGCGTCCATAGACAGACCTAAAGCGTATATACATTGACCTTCAAATAATACGTGCGAGGGTCTTGGATTCATACTAAACCCTGGCACCCAATAAGATGCTGGGGCAATGTTTGAACCTGTAACTGCTGCTCCCTGGTCTTAACCAGCCAATGTTATTCATCGGTTCATGTTCCCGCTCTGGTTGTCGTCAGCTGCGAGAAGGCCTAGCGGTCTTCGAAGAGCATGAAAGTAACTTGACCTCCTGCACCCAAAGCGTCCTAGCTACTGTTCTCAAATCATAACAGTACTTCAATTATAGAAACCTTGCATTCTAATATATAGCTACTTTGGACCCTGTGGGGAACACCTTCGGTCACTGAACCCGGCCCCCCAATGAAACCTCTGCGACATTGGCAATTACTTTATGCTGTGCAAAATCGAAGCCTGACCCCACTAGACGCAAAAAAGAAACGACGCCAGAGCCCTGAACCGAACCTCGCAAACCCTAAACCCCAAACACCTAAACATCCCTAAACCCTAAACCTCGCAGACCCTCAAGCCCTAAAGCCCCGAAGACTCATGGACCATGGGGGCCTTACAACAGCCCTTAAAGGAATTCTGACAGGAACCCCGAAGCACCCCCAAAGAGCCCTAAACCTTAAAAACCGTAATCCTCCATCTCAAACCCCTATAGACCCCCTCTAAAGAAACCCTTCAATGAACCCTTACAGTGGATCCCTCAAAGGATCCCTTACAAGGAACCCCTAAAAAGGGAGCCCCAGATCCCCTTCGAGCGGCCGATCTCACGGGCTTTCTGCCGGATCTCCTCACGGAGGCGCCGGAGGCACTCACAAGACGCAGGGGTTCCTTTAAGGGATCTATAGGGGTTTAGGGTTAAGGGATCTATAGGGGCTTAGGGTACAAGGAACAGGGTGTGGGGGTTATAGGGCTGAGTCTGGTTTAAGACTTCGGGATTATATAGGGATTTGGGTACAGGGAGTACACGGTTTCACGGTTTTTAGGGTGTTGAAAATAAAGTTTGGGTCCATTGGGTTAGGGTTCAGGGTTTAGGGAGTTGTAGAGCTTTCCGTTGAAAATCGAAGCGATAGGGACTAGACTAAGCTTCAAAGGGTTTCATACAGTAAGGGATACTATGTGGGTTGGGTCATGGGTGTCTGAATCATAACAACATTAGGGTTTCGTACTTTGGTGTCGGGTTCTGACAGCTTGCAGATTTGGGGGCTTAGTATCGCTTTTAAAGCCATATGAGCAGTCAAGACAGTCAAGACCGTGGTCCCATTTGGGAACCCCATATGTATATATATATATATATATGTATATATATATATATATATGTATATATATGTATATATAATACTCCTAGTCAATACGGCACACGGCTAATGGTTTACGGGTCACAAATGCTCAGGGTTGGAAGATGTAAGAAGCTTAGGGTTCATGAAGGCCTGCGGTATCAAGCACATCGCTTTGCAGGTTCTAACCTTCTTAAAGCTATAAACTCATCAAGGGAACCACCAGCCATGATTTGACTGACTACTCCGGCCCCTGTATCTATTGTTCTGAGTCTTTGCGTGCGGGGTTTCGGGATGTTTGAGCCTCTTTGGCTCTAGTGTGTCATAAACCCTTAAATCGGAAAGCTGTAAACCATCCTGAATCAAAACCCTCTACCCCTAAACCCTAAACCCCTAAACCTATACATCTTGACCCTATAAAGCCTCTCTGCTCTGGGCAAAATTCCAAACAAGGCTACCCTCCTGCACCCCGAAAACCCTGGGGCCCCTTACATAGGCTTTAGAGTTTAGGGTTTAGGGGTTTAGGGTTTAGGGTTTAGGGTTTAGGGTTAGGGTTTAGGGTTAGGGTTAGGGTTTAGGGTTTAGGGTTTAGGCTTGAGGCTTTAGGCTTTAGGGTATATTTTATG